GGTTGGTTAACGTATTCCATTGACCTGGGTTCTTCTTTGTTGGTTTTTTTTTTTTTTCATAATACCAAGTGACGGGAAGAACAAGTCGTTCGCCTGGTAGTAACTGACACGCCTGCCCATAACAGTTGCAGTGTTACTTAGAGCTTTAAATCATAAAGATCTGCCCGTCACCCAGAGACATAAGTTGTCAAGTCTCATGTGCCTGTAATTTCACCAGCACCCTTACCCTTCACAACCGGACCACTATAATGTGACCATTAATGCTTAGCGGTAGAAATAGGTAAGGTGGTGTTGACACATGCAGGTCTATTCATCTTTTTGGCGTCATGTCTAAACATATCTGGATTATCTTTAATTTTTACCATCTTATCTAAAAATTATTCATGGTAGTAAATAAAACATCGTAGTATTCAATAAACTTAAAAATTATAATTCTCTAGTCAGCGATGGTAGCTGTAAAGGTCCAATCTGAGTGAAGAAATAAATTTCTCACAGATGGCGTTACGGCAAAAAAGCCGTTAAAACCAAAAACAAAAAATCTGCAAGAAGCACATAAAAAAATTCATAAGGTTTGCTGGTTCGTTCCGTGGCTTAATTGGCAGAACATCTGGCACGGATTGCTTGAGGGTGTTGGTTTGTATCCAGCCGGATCGAATGAAAGTTTATTAGCGTTTCGATCTTTGTTATATTAATTATAACAAACTAATGAAGTAATGACTCAAAAAAATAATTGAATATCATAGTATAAACTGCCTCCGTGGCCGAACGGTTACCATGCCGGACTGCCATGCAGAGGTCCCAGGTTCGATTCCCGGGCCGGGAGAAATATTTGTATGGCCTACATTTGTTTGTCTCGTGAGTTTGGGTGTAATTTGTAATTGTCTATTTGTGTGTCCATGGCACCCGCGACACAGGGTTTCCCTAGTGCGGGGCTATGTCGAGTGTGTGCGTAATTATTAAAAAAAAAAAGTAGTAAAACAAGTTCAATAAACTTACAAATTTTACAACAAAATCTTAGAAAAGTCATAACAACATTATAGTTTAAATTGATTCAAACAAATACCTTGGCTGTGTTTACATAAAAAATGATGTGTTAGATAATTTTTCATAGAAGTCGCCACGCCATTATAAATATGTTTAGGTTTAAAAGTGAAAAGTAAAATGTTTTATGCTTTTGTAACTAAAAAATAAATAAATAAAATAAAATATTGAAAAACACCTCAGTACTAAATTCCATTAACGGACTTGTTGTCATTAACGAATGAGTTAGAGTGAAGAAAAACGTTCATAGATTTCTCACGATTTCAAAGATTTCTCATGAATAAAAAAAACAAAGATCTGTAACAAACGCTTCGAGAAATTTGTAAGTTGTACCGACTCGATTTGTAGCTCAGTTGGTAGAGCATTTGACCTGGATTGGCAAAACAGACGCAGGTTTGTGTCTTGTTAGATCGAAGGAATTTTCCTTTATGTTCGAACTTTGTATTAATAAATATTACAAACTAGTAGAGTAATTTTACAATCAATATTTATTTTATTTATTAAATTCGCCAATAGAAATACACTATTAAACACGGACATAAAATAACACTACAGAAATTACTCGAGTGTAAACCCAATAATAGTATCAACATCGTAACAAAAGCGTTTACTGTGTATTTATATTACAGTGAAACAAATGGATATTATTGTAAACAAATATGTAAATATTGTCATTAACGAATTTACTTTAATATCGGTTTAGTTTTGTTGATCAAGCCTCTCCTGAAAGGAGTATCCTCTTATATACTTCAATCATCATAGCAATATAGTACTAAACACACAAAACGTGGGATAATCTTATATACTTTTTGGTACGTTAGGTATTTATTCAAGAGTATAATCGGATCCGGAAATGTATTGTACCGAAAACAGACAACATTGTAAAATGAAAATCTTTGTAAATTGCGGAAAACGTTAAAGGCAATGTTTTTATTTGTAACTGCTTTTAATTCAATCCACTTTTCGTTTTACTTTTACTAGTCACAAAAAAAGAATAACTTTCGAGAAATCGCTATTTAAATTCTTTAAAAAAATTTAATTTGAAAAAAAAAAAAGCCGATTTTCATTTTGAATTGAGTTTAACGTGCTGTATGATTAATATCATTAAAAAAATTAAAGTTTTGTTATTTATTATTTAGAGTCCAAAAGCTACATTTTACATGCCGGTTACGTATAAATATAATAACTGTAAATTATTTATTTATTTATTTATAGTAAATATAATTAATTGTAATGTAATTAAGAAATTAATGCACCGTGAAACTAAACTAATTAAGAGATAATATACACTGATTACTATACCGTGTGAAAACGGAATTACCAAAAACATTCACGATATAAAAAAAAACACAAACTTACCTCGAAATTTTACACGAAAACCGCAGTATTCAATAGGTATGTACTGTACATACACCAAGGATTGTTTTTATGTCAACTGAACTAAATAGAACACGTGTACTATGTGATATACATTTTTCAAATGGCTTTAATTTCGTTTGTAAAAAAATAAATTCTGAAATAAAGCCAGTGACCCTGCTGCTCGATTCAAGCAAAATGAACCGTATTAATACGGTCCACAAGTACCACGTTATCGCGTAACATACATACAGTCGAATTGTGAACCTCCTCCTTTTTTTCAAGTCGGTTAAAAGGCGCGCGAATGTAAAAAAATAAATAAATAAAAATAAAAAAATAATTTTTTAACCGACTTCTTTCCTTCTTTGTCAATTTGACGGTATGTTTTTTTGATATGTACGTTACGCGATAACTGCGGCCAAATTTGTGAACTGATTTTGATGATTCTTTTTTTTATTGGATAGAGAGTACCCCAGAAGTGGTCCCATTTAAATTTGAAGAAAATATTTCACCTGTAAGGGTGGCAAACTAGGGGATATACTGTACTGAGCTTATTAGCTATCAGAAAAAGGAAAGTCTAAGATCGCGAGTTTACACATTCTTTCTCTGCAGTAGCACGAACTGCAGTTATAATCTTATATTATTAAAGTTATTATTAACTACCATAAGTAAGTTCTTACGAGAAGAATTACAAGAGTTATGGAAATAGCAGTAGAGCTCCTTGTGAAAGAGTTAGTCTAGGGAAGTAGTGCCACCTTACCTATTTCTGCCGACAAGATGTAATGTAAGCATTACTGCGTTCCGGTTGTGAGGGGTAAGAGTGCTGGTGAAATGACAGGCTCATGAGAGACTTGTCAACTTATGTTTGAAGGTGACGGGCGATTTAAAGCTCTCAGTGGCACTGCATTTGTTAGGGATGTCACTTGGTACCATATTTTTTTAAAACGGGCTTGAATAATATAGATAGTTAAATCATAAAAACAGATATTTATAAAAAGGACAGCCATTGTTACCTTAATAAAATGTCATCAGATATAATAAATGGTGAGAATGTTGTGACAGCTGCGAAGCCCTTCGGGACACAATGACTCGTTACAAAAATGGACACAGTCAGGTCCCGAGCTGGAAGTCTGGGGATATATTCTTCTGTTAGGGCAATTCACTGTCTTTGTGCTCATAAATATTACAGTATAATAAGGCAATAGTATAACTTTTCGCCTGTTCAGCGCGTTAATGCCTACGCGTCGCTGCGAGTGTAGGGTTGTCACATTTTAGATGTATTTACAGGTTGCTAAACATTAATCAAGGTATTAGCAGATATAAGTTGTTTATAACGTGTATTTATTTGATTTCCTTTCTATGCTTGTGGAAAGTGAATAAACGTGTTATTTCTCAATTCTCGTGCTGTATTGATACACCTTTGTCAACTGCAGTGCAAAATTTAGGTATTATTAGTATTCCAATTATGGGAGTATCATACTCCTGGAATAGAAATGAAATGTGAGTTTGTGTACATGACGAAAAATCAATAAATAAATGTATATATATAAATTTGACGCAGAAAAATATTTTAAACGAAGCTAACTATCTGTGTCTGTAACGAAAAAAAAACTGAAAATTCTGTAATTTATGGCGCGTGCAACCTACGATAGGGCGCGCCTAACGCGAGAGTGACATAAAACGCGAGATACTGCTGTCATCGCATAGACATCCCGTGCTTTACGTCGCTCTCGTGCAAGTCGCGCTTGTTCGTGCTAGCCCTACTGGCCTATGCAACTCCAGTGCACCGCGAGATTATGCGAATGCGTGCGTATGTACACGGCGCTCGGCGAGTGTGCACACATACAAGCCGCGCTGTTACGTTTGTATGAAGTTACACCACATATCTTTTTATACTATGTAAATATGTATGTATATAGAGGCACTAAGCCAAAAAAAATTGCCATGAAATTGTTTGGAGAAGTTTCGATTTGCGATCATATTTCGGATTTGCAAATACTACTTACCTACACACAAAACTAGATTTAAATAATTTTCTTTCTAGAAACGGATATTTATACCTATTTCTTAATAAATGAGATGAGGTAGACACGTAATATACAATCTTGTAGCAGTAGAGCTCCTCGTGAAAGAGTCCTGGTGGATTAGGTGGAACCTGAGCGCATATTTGCGATATCACGATCTCTTTAGTTCCATAGGCAATGGCTATAATAGGCTAGTCTTTTTACTAAGTACAGGTACTTACTCTACTCGCCAGTCTATAATAATAATACTTATTTCGGAATATTGTCCATAGTATTAGTAATAAATTGTCGTACGGCTAATATTAGAAGGTTTGACAACAAAAAAATATATCCTGGTGTGGAGCTGCAGTCAATGCTGTAACATCGAAGAGTCCCACAACTTAAAGACACTCCGTAGTCCGTTGATGCTATCAAGAAGGTAGGCTAGTAATGGAGGCGCAGCGTTTTTTCCGTATATTGTAGAAGTCATCCGCATGTGCCTCCGGAAACATTAACTTTACCTTTAATATAAATTTACGGTATACGCCGTTAAATAGTGAACCCAACAAAAAAATTCATTTCAATATTTCTTTTCAACAGGTTATAATCACTCGAATCCAAAAGGAGCGCGACGCGGCACTCGCAGATGCAGCGAGTAGCCGGGAACGCGCCGAGGCTGCTGCGGCAGCCGCCAACCGCGCCGCTAGAGAACGCGACAGTGCCGCCACTGAACTCGATGTGCTCAGAGAAAGATGGGAGAAGGCCCATCAGCAACATCAGAAACTTACGGTATCTATTGATTCGCTATTCCCAGTGCTTATTTTATATTTCACTATATATTTATAGCTAAGTAGCTATACCTCTAAGGGCGCGTTCCCATTATGTCGTGACGACAGATAGACATGCAGTTTCAAGTGTCGTGGCTTGTATATTTAAATGAAGTTGTTCACATGTAGTACAACACGATTAACTGTCGTTCATTTTTTTGACGTTACGACGTCAGACTGTCGAGACAATGGGAAGATCTAGAACCACAGTCGTCTCACTCTCGATAACAATGTGACGATAGATAATCGCATCTTCAAACGATTCTGTCGTACAAACGACAAGGCGGTTGCCGTGAACCGATAAATTGTCGTCACGATCTAGGGGGAACAGCTAGACACGACAGTCGTTCAACGATAAAAAAACGTCCACGATTCAATCACGACAGACGGTCGTGATATGGAAACAGGCTAGTCGCGACAGTCGTCCAACGATAAATCGTTACGACATAGTGAGAACGCGCCCTAACTTCAAGGCGTGGTTTAAGCGTGTCGCACATAACGCACAGGTATAATAAAGTCACATGTGATCACAGTCACATACGCCAAAAGTTCTTTTATCATAAAAAATAATATAAACTACATGAACAAATTATGTATGTGTGATATTGTACAACTATCATATTTAATACAAAAAACGTATCGATTAATTTCGTTCATAGAATATCTTTAAATCTCTCCTGAAAAGTTGTCATGTCGTAAATGTGGCCTTATCACACTAATGGTGCGTAGTGTCATACGTCGAGAAATAATATTTTTAAGTAACTGAGAAATATGTGTTTTTGTTTGGTAAAAAAACGTTTTGGTAAAAAAACGGTTTATTTTCTCATATCAAACAGAATTTAACTTTTTCTTTAATTTTTTAAATCTAATTTGGTTTCCCAAAAATGTTATTCATTACTGAGGGTACGATATACTCAGCAATGCTATTTCACACTTCTTTTATTGTTATTTATTTTATTGTTTGATTGTATGATTATCAGGGGATAATCATACAATCAAACAATTAAATTTCCAAATTCGATGCAAAGGAAGCCTTAGAATATTTTACTAAATAGTCATTTTACTTTTCAGCTGGAACGAGACGATGCCCTGACTGAAGTCGAAATACTCAAGGAAAAGCTTGATAAAGCTTTGTACTCCACACAAAAGACAATCGAGGAGAAGGAAACTGCGCACAAAGAATACGAAAAAATGCTTGAAAAGTATGATAGGTACATTTTATTGTTGTTGTCGTCTTGTGTTGGTGGCGATGTCGTGATAGTGCATACGAAAATAAGCTTTCTGTTTCCTATACCTAATACAATGTTCTTTACAGGTCTCAGAACGAAATCTACAGGCTGCAGAACAAGATAGAAATATTAGAAGCGGACAAAGATCGTCTTGAATTGGAGCTAGAAAAACACGCGCATTTATCGACAAAAGCTAGAGATGATCAAAGAAAGCTACAAGACGAACTGGCTAGATTACAGGAAATGTATGACAGAGCATCGCTGCAACTCGGTAGGACCAAGGAACAGGAAGAAAAAGCTAAAGAAGATATGGATAGATTGCATGTAGACATTGAAATGGTTCGTGACAGATACGAGAAGAGCCAGATTGAACTGAGGCGGCTGCAGGCTGAGAAGGAGAAACTAGTAGCAGACAACGAACGTCTGCAATTCGAATATGATCGAGCGATGACGCAGTGTGGCAAAGCACAAGCTTCGAACGAAAAGACTCAGGAAGAAATGGCAAGAGTGCAAATTGAACTAGAGAAAATGTATGATAAGCATGACAAAGTATCTGCAGAACTAAGAAGGGTCCAAGCAGAGTTGGACAAAGTTAAGCAAGATGCTAGTGGGGCTAGAGAAGAAGCCGAAAGATACGCGGCACGCTACGGAAAGTATCACGACACTAAGGAAGAACACGAGAGAACAAAGATGGAAGTGGAACGACTGCGCGCGCGGCTAGAGAAGACCACGCTTGAGCTGGAACGAGCACGCAAGGCTGAAGAAGAAGTCACACGGCTACGTTCGGAGCTCGAACGCGTCGAAAACCTCCGAGGTAAATACCAATTCGAACAGGACAAATGGACTACTGAACTAAACCGAATGCAGGCAGAAATAGACAAACACCGCGAACGTTATGAAGCTTCGCAAGTCGAAATACAGCGTTTGCAAGTTGAGAAGGAACAGGCCGAGACAAAACTTCACGAACTGAACATACAATTAGAATTATCCAAGACTGAAGTTACGAAACTCAGTACAACGTTGGAGAAACAACGGACAGATCTCGAACGCGCTCATATTGAGTGCGAAAAGTTCCGAGACCGATGCGAGAAGCTTAAGTTGCGTTCGGATCAGCTGGACAAGGATAACGAAAGACTTAAAGGAGAACTGCAACAAATTGAAAGAATGAAATTACAAGCGGTCGCCGGAGACAAAGCTAGGACTGAAGATCGACTTGAAATTGAACGGCTTCGAGATAAGTTAGAGAAGGCTATCCAAGCGAGAGACTCCACTGAAATGGAGGCAGGTCGCTTAGCCAAAGAACTTGAGAAATCACAGATGCATCTGGCTAAGTACCAGGAGACAAATGAGACGACAAGAGTCGAATATGACAGGATGACCAATGAATTAGGCCGTATGCATGAGCGTCTTGAACGAACTATTCTTGAAATGAGACAGATTGAACAAGAACGAGACGCACTGAGAGCTGAAATCCAAAATACGAGACGTAACATAGAACAACAACAGAGAACGTTGGACCACCGAACACAAGAGACGTTAGTAAAACTGCAGCAAGAATTAGCTCAATCTGTACGCGATCGAGAGAAAATGGCATCTATCTTGGAACAAAGAGACAAGCAAGCAGATGCCATAGAAAAACAAATAGTAAAGTTGGAAGCAGACACAAAACAGTTAACAATCGAACGCGACCAATTAGTGGCTCAATTAGAGAAATCTCAAGATATGCTTGTGAACTTCCAGCGAGAACTGAACGCTTCAGAAGCAGAGTTGCAAAAGCAGCGTGAGGAAGTTCGTAGGTTGAAAGAAGAACAAAGAAAGATGGCACAAGACTCGGAAAGAGGCACAAAATCCGTCCTCGAGACTCGTGATAGAGAAATTGCAAAGCTGCAACAACAGCTCCAGGGAGTTTCTAAAGAACGTGACGCTATTAGACAAAGAGCAGAACAGGCCGAAAAGAACGCACAAAAGGCCGGTGAAGTTGAAAAATGGAGAGCAGCTGTGGAGCAAGAAAAGGCCAAGGCTATTGCGGCAGAGAAAGCGCTATCAGAATGCCAACAGCGCATGCAGTCTTTGGAAAAACAATTCCAGATGCAACATCAGCAGTTGCAACAGCTTCAAGCACGTGGACCGTCCGACGTGCGCGAGGTTCAAAAGCAGCTTGAAGCGGCTAATGCGGAGGCCAAGTCGCTCGCTGTCGAGAGGGAGCGATGCCAGTCACAGCTCGAGATGCTCGTCCAAGAGCTGGAGAAGAGCCAGGTCAGTTGGAGGATCGCCCGGCAACAGCGGCTGTCAGGATAGCATGACACGGTTGAATCGAGTTTACAGTTGTATAATTTTAATAAATATGTCGCAGTTCTAGTTGCACAATTACTATTTGTCGTCATCAAGCGCTGTTTGAGAATTCCCTGGTAAAACGCGAAAAAACTCGATTGAATCGCTTTAGAATCGCGTGCGTTGTCTGCTTATATTGCACCGGTGTCGAGTAGTCGTTTTTTATTTCGGTGTTCATACATTTATTTTTTGTTTGGAATCATCTTCGCCGGTCATCATTGTTGTCGTCTAGTAGCATGCTTCCGCGGCCCGCGGGCATCCTCCAACCCCTCATTCGTTTATTTTATTAGTTTCATCATTGTCAACGTTATAATCATCATTGGAATGACTGTTGTGTTTAAAGTAAAGCGTTTGCACACGACATTCTAAACTTGCACTGAATGTTTTGAAGTCCTGTGATCAATGTTAGCAACATATGCAAATGCTTCTTGTATTTCGTAATTTGTTAATTTATTCTCTTTCAGCATTAGCTACTGTAATTGTGTATTGCAAATCATTGTTCATTACAGAAATCTGTTTTAAGAACCATTTTCATCATAAAATTTATTTCTGCGAATAAAATTTTATGTGTTGCCAAGTTTTTTGTATAAATATGCTTTTATCATGTTGAGCTTTAAAATATTCCGTCGATTATGCCTATTGGATTTCTGAGATACTTTTCAACCAACCAAATAATTTCAGAACTAGAGCACCTCTTTACGATCCCTACTTGACAGTATTATTTTCGGAAACAGCTCGATCTTCACGAGGCGAACAAGAAACTCCAAGCAGCCGGTGCTCAGAACGCCAAAGCTGGCGAGGATACAGCCCAAGCTAAAAAACATTTGCAAGAAGAGTTCAAGAAGTTGGAAGATGCGAGACGGCAATTCGAGGAACAGAGAAAGGCTTTTGAGGCGAGAAGAAAGGATGTGGAAGAAAAGGAGAAGTCGCTAACGGAATTGGATCGACAGTTAAAGAAGAGGAAAGAGCAAATGGACCAAATGGAAGCATCTTTGAGGAAGGTAAGGAGACAGAAAAGTTTTTTCGCAGAGTGTAAGTTTTTGTTATTTAGTTCGTGAACGAAAGCACTCGTTTTATTTATTTCTGAGAAAACGCTTGTGATAAAACTATGTTAGACTATGGTTTCCTTTGACGATTATTCTAGTTGGCCAATCCACTTTTTTATTGAAAATCATGTACGGAACTATTTCAGGCGGGCGGAACAACGGCAGCAGTAACAGACTTGAACAAGAAACTGACCGACACACAACGCGAGGCTGAACAAGCTAGACAACAGCTAGAGTCGGCCAAGGAAGAGGCAAAGAGGCTCACCACGGAAACGGAGAGGCTACTGCAACTGGTACAGATGTCGCAAGAAGAACAAGCGCAAAAGGAGAAACAAATCATGGAGCTTCAACAGTGAGTTTTCAGTTTTGTCTGTGGGTTTTCTAAAATACCAGGTTGAGACTTCAATTTTAGACGCAATGCCAACGTAAGCGAGTAAGGGACCGTTTCGTACGTCAATCCTGAATTCAAATGGTGCAACGTGACAAAATATAATGACATATCATATTGTCACTGTCGAGTTATTTCAATTTCCAAATTATAACAATATTAAGTAGTGTCGAAATAAAAAATTAATATACTTCACACGATTTCGCAAAAATTCGAAATTTAAACACAGTTATCGTATCGCACATTTATTTGATGTGATATTTCAGATCCGTGAGGAACCTTCAAGCCAAACTGAAGAGTCAGCAGCAAGCACAAGCACAAAGAGAAGAGGTAAAATTAATCATTAACATTCAAACCGTTTATAATAATCTATCTAAAATAACTTTCTTAACTAACTCATACGTGTTCAGTTTAATGGAGTTGGATTATTTTATGAAATTGGATCATTTTGATGTATATTTTGAGCAGGCGCTTTGAACTTCTATCTCATTTTTGTTATTATCATGAAAAGTTTTAACTTGTTTTATAGTTACTGTTTTCATAATTTAGCTTGTAATAACGTATTCAACGCTGATAGAAGTCCCATTGCGATTGCTGGGAAATGAATGCATATCAGGTATGTCATTGTGGTTAAAACGACTAACAAACTAACTTTCTGTTCCATGCTGCAGGCCGGACCCGCTGGCTTCCTCAAAAGCTTTTTCTAAGTTAGTCCTTCGCACCAAGACTGTCCTTCATTTATTTGCTTCCTTCATTTACTTTTCTTTACCCGTCGACTTCATTCCGTTAGCGACGACTCTCTCTCCACATCTCAATAAATTATCAACACGTAAGCTTTACAAACGCAATTTCGTCATAAGTAATGTTACTATTTGTATCGTGTATAATGAAGTGTTCAGATAATAATAAATCTTGTTGAGATTGTTCTCAAGCCATGTAAAGGATCTCAACATACGTTGAGCCACTGTAATCAGCACACAGCTAATAGTCTAGATTTCTAAGTGATGTTTAAAAATTAAAATTATCGTGTTCAGTGGGAATTATTTTGTAAGTATTGATAAAAATCAATATTGTAAAACTGTTAAGTAATCATGTATCGATAGATAGATCGAGTAAGATGTCCACTAGTCGATGTTACCAAGCTTCAATCTTGTTATGCGAAATATCAATTAACTTTAAATAATAATAAAAAAGGAAACCTATGTTGACCTTTCTCGATTTATTTTTGAGTTTATATTGTTGAAAATTTTGTTGTTGAAAGTAAACGTTCTATTACTTTTTATTGATTTCATTCTTTTTCGTTTTCATTTTCATCTTTTGACCCCTGTTGTATAGGAGTTAACGCGAGCAAGGCAGATCGAGATAGATGCAATCAAAGATTTGTCTGACGTCATAAGAGAAAGAGACGATGTCAAGTCCAAATTTGAAGAAAGCAAAATTAAAATAATTGACCTAGAAATAGAACTAAATGAATCATCGCTTATACTGAGCGAGGTGCTGAAAATTTCTGAAGGGCAAGATTTAAATAAGATTAAGAAAAGCAAAAGCTTTTTTGAGCTCCAGAAAAGTGGTAAGGTAGTTGATAGACTGGATCAGTGCAGATTTAGCAGGAGTTACAACGATTTGAACTTTTTGCAAGGTGTGAAAAATGAGCCCAAAGTAAATAAACTGACAAGGAAAATAACAGCTCTTTCAAGGGAAATGGAAATAAAGAACTCGAAAATAATCGAGCAGCAAAGATGCATATCTATATTAGAAGAAGCATTGAGAGAGAATAATAACATAGCTGAATTTGAGCAACTACTAGCAGTTGTTAGAAGTAAAGATGAAAGAATAAGTGAGTTAGAACAAATTGTAAATAGGAAATCTGGAGTAATGTCGTCGGATTATAAAGAAAAAAGGATTTTAGAGTTAGAAGAAGCGCTGAAGGAGTCTTTCATGATAGCAGCAGAGAGAGAGAAGGTCTTCTACGAGGAGGAACAAAGGCGGATTGAAACACTGAGAAAGGTGAGTATTCTGAATTATACTTACGTACTAAAATAGTAGACAGGATTATAATACTCACAGTTAAACATATTACGATGATCGCTCTGCTGTTTTTTCAAGTTTGATTTCTGTAGGGTTCAAGACTTGCATAATCTGAAAAATAAAATCTAACTATACCTCTAAATTTTCCCTGAATTTTTGAGGAGAAGCGGCAGACATTCGAACAATATTTGTGTTACAAAAAAGAGCTGTCCGTGCAATTGATAAGTTAGGTCGCCGTGATACTTTAAGGGAAAGATTTAAAGAATCAAATATTTTAACTCTGCCAGGTCAATTTATATTTGAAAATATAATGTGTGTTCGTAGAAATGTAGCATTATTTCCGAAAAACAGTGATAGGCATAATCTCAATCTTAGAAACAAAAATAAACTTGCGAACCCTGTGCTCAGACTTGATAAAGCTAGCTCGCCATTTGTATGGCACTCTATATGTTTTTGTAATAAAACTCCAGAAATTGTAATTTTATACAATTATCAGAAAAAATGTATAAAGATCATGTTAAAAATGTGCTAATTAGAAAAGCTAATTATAAAATCAACGATTACGTAGATGATATGAACGCATGGTGTACTGCCAGATATTGAATGTTTGTGATGATACAAATAAAACATTCTTCTCGGGTGAAATTGACCTGTCAAGGACTAATGGATTTTTGTTTGATCTGACGATTTCAAGTGTATTTTATTACCCACGAAATAAAGATACTTGATTTGATTTTCCTAAATTAGGTAAGGAATGGGTGTTTTGGGTATAGTAGTGACCAAGCAATTTCGTTGCCTTGATATCAGATAAGGTGATTGTCCCATTTGTTCATTCTGTGTATGTGTTTCTTTCCCATTTCAGATGCATAAGATGGAGCAGCGCATCCGATCGCTGCAGAACGCTTCGGCTCTTAAGTGCGAAACATGCTCGAGCGTATTAAAGCGCTTTAAGCGACTGGAAGAGCAGCTTAATACTTGCCAACAACAGAAGGAGATCGTGCAGCGACAATTGTCGCATGCTATGTAAGTTTGTCTTACTATTTGAAGAGGTTTATAATTCAACTCAAATATATGTCAGGTTAGACCTTGTACGCATTGTCATGACACAATTATTATAGTTCCGAAGATAGTTTGGAAAAATGGTTTCAATACTCTTCTTATGAACACCCCTTTAACTTCTCCGACTGCTGATCCCGACTTAATAATCTGTTACTTAAGATTTCCTGCACCTTTTCATTTCTAACATATCTTTACCGTTAATGATGCATGTCTATTATGAAAATGATATTTAGACTTGACAGTACAATTATTGTAACTATCGCGGATACAATTAATTACGTCCAAGCATGCGTGAAGGAGAAGAACGACACTAGTAAAGACGCTGGATAAATTTATTTTGTTTTACAATAATGCAATCTGATACGTCTAGCGTCTAGACTGTTCCCATATCACGACTATCTGTCGTTACTGTATCGTGGACGTTTATTTCATCGTTGAAGGACTGTCGTGTCTAGTTGTTACCATTTGATCGTGACGACAATTTATCGGTTCACGGCGGCCGCCTTGTCGTTTGCACGACAGAATCGTTTGAAACTGCGATTATCTGTCGTCACACTTTTATCGAGAGTGAGACAACTGTCGTTCTAACTTTTGCCATTGTCTGGACAGTCTATCGTCGTAACGTCAAAAAAGTGAACTACAGTTAATCGTATTGTACTAGATGTGAACAACTTCATTTAAATATCGAGTTCTTAGGTTCATTTAAATATACAAGCCACGACACTTTAAACTGCACGACTATTTGTCGTCACGACATAATGGGACCGCGCCATTAAGGATTTATTTAAATTTCAGCAGAAAGCATAGTGCAAGGAGTAGAGTAATACTGGAATGGAAAAGAGAGAGCCTTGGCGTATTTTTTAAACCCCTAATTGACAGTCAACGATACCTAGAATTTGCTCCCTGTACTAATTAAGGACACGTATGAATAAGTATATATACTAATACTTTTCGTACCTATACAGGTAGTTATCTATATGCGTATAGGCATTGCGCTAGTTCTTCAATTTTGTAGGACAGAGTTAACATGAAATTGTTAAAAAAATAGTACAAACAAAACAAAAAAATAATAAAAAAAATGTTATATTGCCTAAAAATAATCTGCCATAGAAAATAAACGAACATAAGCGCAGTCTTTTACAAAGTCAATTTTAATTGAGCTATATAAATATTTTTAAAAGACGTTTTGTGCATTACATTAATTACATACATTACATAAATTTTTATTTTGTCACGTTTATGTTTATTGTAATATAATTGTGCAGTCTTCTTAATGTCGTCCTCACCAACATATTGTAGTTTCCCGGCTAAAATTCTGTTTATTGTTTTGCACCAATATAATAAGAGTCACTATCTCACCGTGTCCAATATCACACATAAACACACACACACCCACGCACGGACGCACGCACACACACACACCACAAGTCTATTCAAGAAATTTAACAGAAGAATCGATCGACGGTTGATCCACCGTTGACCACCATTTCGTGTCGTCTCAGATTTTGACAGCTATAATGAACGTGAACCATAGATAAATTGTCTTTCTTAGAGAACAAATGGTAGAGATCACGTTCTATGCTTTTAAAAGTGAAATTTATAGAATGTATGCAAGTGTACCCCTGGCATAGCGTGACGTTGAGCTTCTTAGGTTTGCATATATATTTGACAAGACAACAAGAAATTATTATTTAACATTTCGTCAATTTTACTAAAATTCTTCTTGTTCCGGTGTCTGTTTTGTATTCAATCCCTCTCATTTTTCTGCCAGATTTGGGATGATTTCTGAAACTGTTTTTAACATCTGAATCCTGCTAATATTTTAGCGCGAATGATTAAAGGCGAATGAAATAAATGGTCTGTCAATCAATCCGCACACTTCATTTCGGCTCAACGCTATTCAGTGTCTCTACCTCAATGACTTTAATGGAGTTACCTCTTTCATCTCGACCGATGATACGGGCTTGATTGTTTTGCTTAATTTGATCCTAATTGTCCGTATTACAGACAGGATATCCTGGAAGGCGCAATCAGTGAGAAAGACAGTCAAATAGCCGAGCTGGAAGTGAAGGGCGTTTTAGATGAAAATGAGACGCAGATACGCGACGCGCTCAAGTGCGAACGAGATAGGTTGCTGAATAGGCTTAAAACAGAGGTGAGTGAGGCCATTGTCAATTATCAACTATCAGAAATGTAGCGTGTCGGAATGATTATGCAAAATCAATGGATTTTACGGTACGGGTCTCTTTTATTTCTCCTGATCCTTCTAATACTACCACAGAAACTGTTTTCTATTCTATCTAGTCTATTCTATTATAAATAAATAAATAACTTTCAATTTGTACAAGAAGTACCAAACGACAGATATGTGACACGTGAGATCGCGATTGTCCTGCAATGATGAATCTGGAACTTGATTTACCCGAGTTACATTTCTGGAAATACCACTGACTTGGCAACCAAATGACCAGAATTGCGAGGGAAATAATTTCACGACCTAAATGAAGTTGTTTTGACGATATTTTATTTAGTCGGAGTTACACTTCACGCTGAGCACGTGTACGAGTTTTTCTTGATTATTAGTGAAAAAATCTATTTTCTCGTCTGTGACAAAAGCTTAAATCTAACTTTCCACTTGATAAAAAGTGGTAACTACTATCTAATAGACATTTGTGATACTACTTAGTCCTTAGGCCACTTACTACTTAGGCCGGTAACGCATTTTCAATTTTAAGTATACTTATACTTAAAATTGAAAATGCGTTACCGGCCGAAGGACAGTACTTAGGATCTTAAAGTCTGTCTTTTTCGAAGATGGAGTAAAATGACAGTTAATTGCGCAGTAGTGTTGCCCACTTTCAAGCAACTAGTAATCGCAGTCGATAAATATTCTATCGACTATGAATTGAATGTTAGTTCCACTTATGTAATAAATAGCAGAACTTGTTTCATTTAAATCGGCATTTGAATCATCATCGGCCCATGAATCGTTCAACTGCTGGGCACACGTTCATTTCAATTGTCATTTTTTGTAAGTTCACATACATACTTAACACTACATGTATATTAAAAATACAAAGAGAAGACATTCAACAAACTTTTTCATTTTACTTCAATATAGATAATCACATCCGTCCGTCCTTATTAAAATGCATAATTTAATAAAAATAGATTTCGATATTTTTAGTCCAACTGTCAAAATAAGAATAAAGAAGGCAGTAACGCATTCAGAAATCAGATATTAGTGACAAAATTTTACCTTCTTTCAGAATCTATCGACAAAAGTGTCGACAACAGCTACATGACTACTTAAAATTTTATGAAAATTGGAAACCCTGCAAATATATTACTTAAAAAAAGATAGACTATAAGTCATCT